CAGGTGTTCAGTAAGGAGCTGCTCTGCTGCCGTGAAGTCTTTCTACTCCTCCTGGCTGACTGTGGTCACTGTTTACTAATCTGTGCTGGATATGCTGCACATCACAATGCAGGAAGTAATATGCAGAAGAAGACACATGCATGCAGCTGCTGGTCCTGGTTAGATTTCTTTGGAAGCTCATCTGACAGTCAGCAATCACCCAGTCCAGCTGTTTATCTGAAATACAGGGATGTTGTATTGATGTGAACAGCCAGAAAAACCTAATCAAGACACACAAATGGAAACTTGTCAGCCATACCTCTAATTATATCATGGACCCAAGCCTTGAAGACCTGTAAGGCTCAATAGATTTAAATGACCATTAGGTGGATTAAAATAACTTTTTGTTATGTCTTTGCTTCTATGCAGTGTGAATGATTATCTGAGCTGATGACTTGGTGTTGTGCAAATCTTGCCTCTGAGATTTATATACAATGTATATATATTTTATGCAAATTTCTGCACAGTACGTACACACTTTTTATGAAATTATAAACAATATCCTTGCAGAGAAAATAGTTGAATGTAAAATTACAGCAATATCAACCAAACATTACCATGTTTTGACTAATTTATGGTTTAGATTTTATTTTTCAGCTTTTATTGGGTGTTTTATTGTAATTTCAGGAATGATATCATATTAAACTACTTTTTTTTTAAAATCCTCAATACAAAATAGGATATATTTATATTTATATTATTTTTCTTTTCTGTCATTTTTCATTACATGCCTGTCATGTAAAGGTGGTCACTGTTTGTTTTTTTTCATTAACTGTTCTTTAATACTGTTGTTCTTCTCCTTCATTTTAATTCAATTACAGTTATGACCTTGGTAGAGAAGAGCTATAACTGATACAGTATTTACTAGCTGGTCTTTTACATTTTTCAATGTGTCATTTTTTTATGTATTTTTTTCCAGCATCCTTGCAGCCAGATTTTCACAGTTTTTTAATGTATTTTTTTCTTATTATTTTTTATAGTGTAACATGTGCAGGCATAATGTGACCAAGAAATATATTATGTGGCATTTGGTAATACCTCAAAGTGATTATGAGATGTTGGGCCCTGAAGGGCCGTTCCCTCACACCTACCTTGGGGTCCATGGACGTTTAGGAACAGTCCCCAGTAGGGCCCATTTGGTAATCCATTCATGGGTAATATGATACCAGATGGGAAGAAACTAATATTAGCACAGCACCACTAATAATCCACTGTCATCGTGTGGAGACGCTCCTCCATCTGTGAACATTAATGACGGCTACAGTGAAACACGGAAACTGTCATGTCTGACTGACTGTGAGAAAAACCAGTTGGTGAGCTGAGACTGAACATATTGGACTCCCAGACTTATCATGTGCAGCAGATGAATATTAATACCATCACAGAAATATATATAGTCAATATAGAAACGGATTATAGACGGCTGAAATAGCCTTATTGTTGAAATGGTCCAAGATGAAAACAAAGCTCTGAGTAAATGCCAAAAGTGAGAGAAAGTCACTCATGATGCATTTAAATTTTCCTTTATAGAATATACAGTATATATTTGTTAAAAACAACCCTAAGTTGCTTTAGATTTGAATCTTAAAAGCCACAAAAGCAGCATTGATCTACTGGTGCACCCCTTTAGTCCAGACTGTTGGACGATTTGTTATGATATTCGGCAGTCATTCATGTTCCCTTCAGGATGAATCATAATAGCTTTGGTGATCCTCTAACCTCTACTTAGTCAACATGTCAGCATCGATCCAATACTAGGTTTAGGTGCAAATACCTGAAATAATATTCCCATCAGTCTCAGTTGTACTTTGTCTGTAGTTCTAATTTGCATGCTAACGTGCTAAACGCTAGCGTGTGCTAAACTGTCTCTACACTCTTAGCCTGTGTACAGTTCCACTCAGCTGCACATTTGTTTGTTTGTTTTCGTCCAAAGCATCATCACATAAAAGGTGTGACTGTTTTAAAATAACTAGTGTTCTACCTAAATAGACTGTAGTGGGTCACGATCTCATTGCGTTCATTTTAATAAACCTCCTCACAAAGTTCCAGGTAAAATTTTTGTTGACAGAGCTGAGGTCACGGTGGGAACATAACGACTCCAATAATGACGCCAGACTTCTACTCAAAAACACCCGCTGTGGTTTTCACAGTTCTAATTAGGAACCTGTCGCACCATCCCCTCCTTGGGTCACTAAATGAAGCAGGTCATGTGGATATGTAAAGACATTAGTGCTAGAAGATGAATAGAGCCGAGAGAACAAGTGGAGGTGATGTTTATTCTCAAAAACACGTCGTACGTACAGACTAATTTGAAGCTCATTACTGCTGGACACTTTCTGTTGATACAGAATAGTGACTGTCCATTTGAGGATTCGCTGAATTCTCGCTGGTCCTCAAATGTAAGTTTAATGAGTCGCCTCTGTAGCCTTCATAAAGCAGCAGATCTCTATTCATCTGAACAATAACAACAGATGTAGATGCAACTGGTTCAGAGTGTGAATGACAAACTTGAGTGGGTGGAGGGAAAACATCAATTAAAAAGGCTCGACTCAATCAATGAAAAGTATTAAAAAAGTTCTGAATAAAAAGTATGAGACGTGACACAAATGCTTAAATGGAGTAAATACAAACAAAATGTGACATTGTGAAAGACACATGTTCTTTTATTTTTCTTCTTTTATTTTTTTTTATTAATAATGAAATATTATATTTATTTATTATAAATTCAAGTCGAGTGATTTAGAATGACTGACTGTGGTTTTTGAAACAGTTCAGTATATGGGTTTATTTATAAGATTGTTAATTTTGTAATATCTCATTTGTTTATTTAACATGTAGCCAGACAAAACTAGAGAATAAGAAGGCTTGTGTTATGGATAATATAACTGCTGGAGACCTGATCAATTGCTTTTGAACAATGTTACCTTTTATCCGTTTTTATTTGTCCCTGTGATTAAAGACAAAGCTGGTCACTAAACAGTTTGGAGAACTCAGTCAGCAATCTATCCAGTGCTGGAGAGAGCTTTGATCCTGAACACAGAACTGTCGTGCGGATTTTGCCCTTAAAGGAAATCTTAGATAAATATAACAGGCAAAGTTCAGGGGTGGAAAATAACTAAGTGTGTTTACTCAAGTAATGTACTTACACTTCAATCAAGTTTTTCTATTTTTTGTTCCTTTATGCTTTACTCTACTGCAATTTCAGAGGGAAAGATTGTATTTCATGCTGCTCTATATTAATTGGACAGCTTTAGTTAATTTTAAGATTTGTATTAAATTAAAATCCAACACACTGTTAAAGGTTAAACCTGTGTTTTCCAGTCATTCAAATTGTAACAACACCACCAAACTGTGATTTTGCCCTCTAAACTTATAAAATGGTTAATGTCAGTAAATGTTCAAATGATTCAATGTCTCACCAAAGATTAGAGAAACCGTCTAAGAACTAAAAAAAGATTTCAGAACTTTTTTCTTCTTCTTCCTTTTCTCTAGTTTCAACAGACTCCAGCACACTTACTGACTCGCAAAGATACCATCCATCCATCCATCCATCCATTCATCCATCCATCCATCCATTATCTATACGCCGCTTAATCCTCACGAGGGTCACGGGGGGCTGGAGTCTATCCCAGCTGACTCAGGGTCAAGGCAGGGGACACCCTGGACAGGTCACCAGTCTATCACAGGGCTACACTTAGAGACAGACAACCAAGCACACTCACATTCACACCTACGGACAATTTAGAATCACCAATTAACCTCAACATGTTTTTGGACTGTGTGGGAGGAAGCCGGAGAACCCGGAGAGAACCCATGCTGCACGGGGAGAACATGCAAACTCCACGCAGAAAGATTCTGGGTGTCCTAACTGGGATGCAAACCGGCAACCTTCTTGATTGTCTCAGGCAGACGATGGAAAAGTGGATTTTCTGAAAGTTTGTTAAGATGGAGTTATATGTTGTTGCAAATGAACTCTTCACATGTTTTTATATCAACTGTAGGGCAAAATAAGAGTAAGACGCTATTTGTAAGAAGTAGTTAAGACTGAAATTGGTATCTCCTGATTTCTTCCTGCCTGGTGCTGCCCTTCAGGGGCATAATGGGATAAAATATTTATTCCATTGCATAACCTGTGGTCTTTCAAATGTTGGGGATATTTACAGACAGTGTTGCATGTCATAAGCAGAAGCAAATACATTGGCTGGTAAAGTCAACAACTGTGAAGACCTTTCTTTAAAAGGTTCCTGTACCCCCCAGTAAACTGCCCACCTGCAGTGCTGCTATAAAAAAAGGCAGCTTACAGGGACTCACAGGGACTTGCAATGACAGTTTGAGCCCATTGAAGTTGCAGCACAAACCAGATGTTTGTTGATGGTGTACATCTCCTGTAATATGAAATCTTATGTACGGTAGCTTTGCAGACAGATTTCATTGGTATCTCTAAAACTTGTTTTATTAAATCATGCAATTGTGGAAAAATGAATCAAACTGGTGCTGAGTTGTTTCCATAAGATTAAAAAATAAAATGTGTTCACTTTCCTGTCAGTTTTTTTCCCCAAACAATTGGTTGATTCATTTTTAAATTGCCTTTTTTCTATTTTTGCAAATAAACTTCATATGTGTTCCAAGTCTTGAATTTGAAGCCCCTGTCATTCTTTTATGTACGCCAACGCCATTGCAAAATGTTTCCTTTCCTTTCATTTGTTATATATTTTCTAATACTGCTATTTTTCTGTTTTATTATTTCATTGTTCTATGGACGCCCCATGAGCTGTGTTTCCTTTTAATTGTTTTAATTGTAATGAAATGTTGTATATTACATGGTTTACTGCCCTCTGCTTATTAGTTTAAAAGTATAGCTTAAAATACTGTTTTTTAAAATGTACTTTAAAGGCATTTTACATAATGAATATCTTCACTAGTTATCCATGTTAAATATAAAGTAATGTTTGAGACTTTCATATGTGCTCATATCTTTATTTAAGAGTGTACATAATTCACTTGTTTTTACAGTACATGACAAAGAAAACAAGTCATTACCCTAACATCACTGTCCTTCATTGTTTTGGTTCATATGTACATACAAAACATCCAACCAAAACTCATGAATTGTAAACATATTAATAATCTATAACAATAGTATTTGTACACACAAGAGGCTCAAAATGTTCACACCTAATACTGGACTATGTACAAGTATAAGATAATTGCCTGATAAAGGCACAGGAAAATGCCCTTCGTCCAACTCCACCGCAGAGGGAGCAACAACAAACCCAGGGCCCTGAGATCTACAAGAAGAATGACGGAGTGGAGGAACCGGTTTGTCAGAGAGTGTTCCCTTTTAGAGAGGTTGTTCCAGTTAGTACATGCTGAGGTACTGAGGTCATTTTTTTTTCTGAGGAACGGAGAGAGGGTGGCAGGATATAGAAACACTGCCGACTGCTTTCTCAGATGACACTCAGAGGTCCGTTTGATGGCTAAAAAAAGACAGGCTACCGGCGTGAACAGAAAGGCGGGAGGCTTTGCAGAGCCGCAGGTACGTGGTGACGTCGATCTCTGCTGCTCACGTAGTTTCCCCCTCAGTACCAGTACAAGTCCTTCTTGTCCAGACGCCGTCCTGACACAGGGGAGACAAACACGAAGCAGTTTAAAGCAGCTCCAATGAAGACACGTAACCAAGTTTTCGAAGCAAATAACTAAAAACAAACAGGAGAATTTCTCAGAATGAAGTGCCCCAAATACTGAGTGGTTAGACAGAAGCAAGTGAGGAACGAACAGATGATCAACATTAACTCTAGAAATGGCTAAATAATGATATTTGTTGTCAATTGATGAGCTCCTGTACCAATGCAGACCTGCATACTGCCCACTTTGTTAATTAATGATTATGATTACTTAATATTTTAATCCTGCTGCTGTTTCTAGGAATGCATTGTGATTATAACAATTGTCTGAGTATTAATGTGACTCATTTGACCTTTTCTGAGAATTAAACTGCCTCTAAAGTTGTTGTTCTTTTTAATACAAACAAGAAGTAGTTTCCAGTAAAAACTTAGTTGTTGGGTACGTGGTGTCTCCAGTTTACCTGAGGGGACATGCTATCATTCATACCACCTCAACAACCTACAGCTATTTTAACTTTGTAAAATGAATTTTCCTTTATCTATGATAATACAATTAGAAGTTTCACAGATTTACTGAAAATTCACAGGTACTTGTTTTTGTGGTATCAAACAATTTTCAATGAATTGAGTATTGCTTCATTTTCCATTTTAAATTGACTTTAAAACAATTTTGTGAACCCGACTCTAAACAATTTAATCGTTTTCCGGTTTTATAAAAATGCTGTATTGCAGCTTCAGGATTACCAGGGTCAAAGCCCACAGCAGGGTCCACAGACTCTCTGAACCCTGGAGGCACTGTCCAGCTGGGAAGCAGTTCTGGCTTGGAGCTGGAGGCAATGCTGGGTCCCATCTCCCCCCGGTCGCTGTGCAGGAGGTTGAGCAGGGACGAGGCATATTGCTGTCCAGTAAGACTCAGCCCCTCTGGAGACAAGGAGTACGTGATGGACTGCAGGCCTGGACCCTCCCCTGTCCTGGCAGTGAAAGAGTGCCAGGAGCCGGGGGTGTCATCTGCAGAGCTGAAGGTGAGGAGGCGTCCAGGTACCGGGGGGACCTGCGACTCTGAGTAACACTCAGTAGCACTGCCCTGACAGGAACCGGCGTCCTCTGTTTGGAAAAACAAAGACAGAAGCCACGCAGCAAGGATAAGCAGGATTGATTATTGTGCTTTATCAAAGGTCTCACAGCCCTGATTTGATGTGCTCACCCAGTTTAATAGTTTTACGGATTTTCTTTGCTTTGGCTGCAGGTGCCTTGGCTTTGCAGACTTTGCTGAGAGCGCGGCTGAAGTGAGCGTCCACCATGCTGTTGATGTCCCCCTTGAAGTAAGTCAGGATGACACACTGCGAATGCTCCTCCACCCTCACAGCTGTTGGACTGTCTGTTCTTTCCTCCATGGGCCAGCTGTGACTGGAAATAAAAGATCATGGAGGATTGTTTAAAAAATGCTTATTACCAGGATCATGATATATGCAATTATTTACAATCTTGTATTAGTCTACACTGAAGGTTTAAACATTTTGCTGTATTTAAAATAACTCAAAGCATCATTTTAACCATAACGTAGCAACTTAAATGAAAAGATTTAGATATTTTAAAAAAGAAAAAAAAAAAGTTGTCTTTTTGTACTGATGAAAACTTTTAGATTTATCGTTTTATCAAAACTGCTTTCTCTGATTGTCATTGTCATTGTTGCCTTTTTAAAATTACTTTATTAACCTTTATTTCACCAGGTAAATTAACTGAGAACTGGTTCTCATTTTCAATAACAAGCTGGTCAAGAGGCAGCATACAAACAAGATGAACAGCAAAAACAGATTACATGTACAGCAACTCACACAATAGTACAAATAAATCACACAACAACTTGTAAAATAGAGAGGCCTTGTCAAACCTACTTTTTTATGGCAACATGAAGGAGATTTTTTTTAGCAACCCGTGTGATTCAACACCTCCTTTTTGAAAAGGCAAATCAAACTCAGTGGAATAAATGTGTTCCTTGCTTCTTATCTCTGATTTCCCTGGATGACTCACATCATAGAAATGTTTTTTTTTTTTTTAAAGCAGGGTGATTGTAGTTTTGGTTAAACATACAACTCTTCCACAAACAGTAAGAAACTTTCATTTAGGTGAATTTCATGCATCATAATTTGTAACTAGTATCAACATTAGACTCGCACTGGTGCACAATACTCCAGCAACAAAAGACAATAGTGCTGAGAAATGCCTGCAAGAATTCACTTTATAATTTGCCAGAAGATAGGGTTTGTGGTTCCAAAACACCTAATAAGAAATATATTGTGTGAGTTTTAACCAGGAGAGTGAAATGCATATTCATGGGTCCAGTCTTTGGGAAAACACATCAGCCACTGTAACTTAGAACTATAGAAAGGAGTGAGCTGTACATATTCAAATCACATCCATCCTGTTGTGAAAACAGAAAAATACAGTAGTAAAGAATCTAAGCACTCTCTGCTTTAAGTAACTTGCTTCCCTTACCTGACCTGCTGATTGACCAAAGGGGACCAGGAAGTGCAACCTTGCATTGACTGGTTGATCAAAGCAAAAATGAGAGGCAGTTGGAAAAAAAATCACTTGGCTTCATCAGAGTCATCGATGAGATTCGAGGAGCCAACGTCTTGCTTTCATCTAAAGAAAGGCAAATCGTTTCACTCTCTGCGTCTCTAAAGTTACTCAGTGCGTAAGTTTGGGAGGGCGTGTGAACACAGACAGCTATGAGCAGAATGCTATCCGGCGGGTTCCTCCAGAACCTGACAGACGACTTATCAAAACATTCCTCAACCGCACTCTCCAAAAGTTACACGCAGTTGAACAGTAGCTCTGAAGTGATTTCTGTGAAGCCTTATATGAGATTAAAAAAACAAAAACAAAAACAAAAAAACCCAGAAAAACATTCGCATTATAATGAAAAGTTTATCTTGTGACACATGACAGAAAAAGAAATGTATTTATTGTTAAATGACTTTTCACACCAGACAAGTTCATGAACTTTTTCAGGTTTGCAGTTCTCTTCGTCCCCACAGGAATAATTCAGTGTTTGTTTCTACAAGTACATCCTTGTTTGTTTACTGCACTGTAAACACAGCACATCAAATCTGTTTTCCACAAGAGGAGTGCAGTATCATGGGCTGACTTTTTTGATTGTTCAACCCAAATAAAGCAAAAGAAAGCACTGGGTGGTGATTTTAGATTTGAAACTGACAATCGTTGTGCTTTAATGTAAATTTCAAAACTTTGACAGCAAGTGATAATATTTCTGTTGATGCCTTTGGGAGAAAATAATCCTTTAACAGCTCCCAGTTAGATGTGATATATGTGCACAAAGGTTTACTCATCTTGGTGGGCTGAAGTGGTCACACACACAAAAACAATGCCAGGATTTTAACTTCTGCCTAAAACTTTACTCTTAAGGAAATCAAACACAAAATGTATATACTGGAAATACACAATCCAACAAAATTCTTCAGCAAATCTTACATTTTATTATGAAATGATTTTATTATGAATTTAAATTGAGAATACATTTATATGCCTTCAATGGAAACATCAAAATCGATCATATTTTAAGTTCTGAGGAAAAAATAGAATGGAAAATAAGAGCTGCTGAGCAAAAAGATTCTCACAAGTTTCAGAAAATATACATGAGCACAATTTCTCATTTACTTGAAAGCATTTTAAATGACAGACGCCGTCCTTTCCGTCGCATTTCAGTGACATTTAAATAGTAAACGCTTTGAAATGTGATCTGATATGAGCACAACACGACATGTACTCATTGCTTTACTTTTGTTTCACAGACACAAGACATTCTTTTGCTAAGCATCGATACAGTAGAAGCAGTAACCTGCAGGTTAACTGTAGATTTAATAAATGCTACTTGCATAAATTGTGCACCTTCCATAACAATTCTTTACTTTGAACTGACTGCATAATATTAAGAGCTGATTTTAATGCAAGCTGCAGCATTGCCTAGAGATTGCATGTAGTTTATTTGATCTTTCCCTGTTCATCTTTTGACTTCCCTGCTTTCAGTGTTTGGAACTGAACAATAGACCTTAAAGGGAAATCCAGAATGATCCAGAGGCTCACTCATGCCCCCTGGTGGTGGTGGTTCAATACTGATCCTGTGGAGGAGTCAGCCAGATGCTGTAGGGGTGGAGGTGTTGTCAGAAGCTACTGAATCCGAGTTAACAAGATTGCTCTTTTTGCTGCGGCCCCCCACTGTCACCGAGCGGCTCCAGTCTGACCACAACAGACAAGAAAGAGAAAACAATTGATCATCCACCTTGAAAATAATTCCCCATCAGCCGCCTTATTACGACAGTGAAACGTGTCAGACGTCAACAAGCGCTGTTACCTGAGTAATCACTGAGTCTGAAACGCCCACAGCACAAGTGGATTCTCCACTGTTTCCTCACATTTTCCTTCATCAAACAGTGGAACAGAAAAACAAAGAGCCCTGCAATAAAAGCAAAAGCAAAGATATGAGACAAACTCCTCTGTAAATCTGTCACTTACTGGTGATGTAGGAACTTTGTTTTTATGTTGGTTTGATTTCACTTCCATTTCAAAGGCTCTCTTAAGAGTGTAGTTTTAAAACCATTTGTGCTGATTCTCAAAAAGAAGGAGACTCTACCACAACTCTGAAATTATTTTTAGATCAAGGAAAAAAACTGTTAAACTTCAGTGGTGGTAAATGTATTTTCATGCGAGGAAAATGACTCACTCCTTCATAACTAGTATGCCCTAGATACCAACCACAACTCATATTTACCCTGGAAAGTGTTGAGGATTGTGAACAGGTACATCATGATCACTTTGCCCGGCCCAAATGAAAAAAAGCCCATTGACCACGTCAGGCCCAACAGCACAGTGAGACCAGCGACTGCCCTCAGGTCCTGCAGAGCGTTACGGCTCTTTGCTGACGGCTTATTGGCTTTCATGCGTCTGATCTGGATCAGAACCACGATGAAGACTGACAGGTTACACAACAGGATCAAAAGAACAAATGCCACCACTGTCACGTAGAAGAAGACGTCATTCTGCAGCCAGCAGCTGTAGAGGGAGAGGATTGGTCATCATATAGTTTCTACTGACATTTATGACAAACTTCCTTTTATTGTTCAAGCTTCTAGGAAGAGATGTTTTTTTTCCCCCCAATAAGCAATACACACAACCCACAACACATAGCAGTTTCATTATATTTTGCCCACATCTCTACAAATCTTCACAAATTGAATTACCTTTTTTTTCCTTTTCTTTTCTTTTCTTTCTTTCTTTTTTTTTTTTTTTTAGAAATTTGAATCAAGTTAATGCTCACTTTATTTTGCTCCTAATCCAACATTTCTTTCAGCTACATCTCTGTGCCGCAGTACTTACAATGGGTCAGTGGACTGAAGAGCCACTGTCACATCTTCAGGTACAATGCTGCCGTAAGCATCTTTATCTATGGCCAGCACGAGGCCGACTATCACCAAAGGAACACCTGTGAGAACATGCAACATGCAAATTTGTACCATTCTTCTTTTTGCTGTTAATATTTACCACACTTTGCGGTGGACGGCGGAGGCAAATGATGTGCATATACACAAACGACCTGCATATACATGAATGTGTTGCATAAACAGAAACTTGCTGCAAAAAGAAAACGCTGCATATCCAGTCACACAACGGAAGTGCCACAGTCCTCTTGGGGTGGTAGTGAACTTTTCACCTGAGAGGCAGACAAGTAAGTTGAGGGAAAAGCTGTATGAAAAGCTGTGTATTCTCCTGTCTCCATGGATAAATATAAATGACAGACAACACAGGAAGACGGTCGTAAAACACTACTGCTGCACCCATATAATCACAGCTACTGAAAAGCTAAAGGCTTAAAAACTGCCCCTAGAGGGCTGTGACACTTCCATTATCGATATGCAGCGTTTTCTTTTTGCATTTGTTTTCATTTTTGCAGCCCATCTGTATATGCAGCGCTTTTCCATGTTTGCAGCATTTTCTTTTTGCATCACGTTTCTGTTTATGCAACGCATTCATTTTAATGCAGCTTACTTGTGTATATGCATGTAATTTGCCCCCGTTGGCCACTGTACACTTGGGCTTAATCCACATGTACACAGGAAATACTAACCCTAAAGTCATGTTGGCTACATGTTGATGCATTTTTTCCTCTGTTTTGAAGAAGCGTACTTTTATATTTAGGTGTTAACATGTAAAAAGTCCTGTGAGCAAGGCTGACACCAGCACCATTCAGGCCATATCTGCCATTGCACAGAATTGCCTCACATACATGAAGGAGGCAACGATGCACACTCTGACTTTCACTGCCAAAAGAGCCAAAACACATTTTTTAAAAATAACTGTGTACTTGTGGACGAAGCTTTAGCATGTGTCAAACTGATCATCAGTCTCGCTCCCACCGCCTCCTTTCCCCTCCGTCTTGCCTTCCCCATCCTTTCCCCCATCACGTGCAAGAGCATGAATGTGCATGAGCACAAACATGTACAGAACACATTTGTCTCTCATATGCAGACCCAAGGCTGTGAACAAACATCAGATTTTTTTTTCAGCACACCAAATAGTTTAAATTTGACAAAAAGGTGCTGGTAATAAAGCTGCACACTCGACCTTTAAATAAACATTTTATGTTAGGGAACAAATTCAATTAATACATTTTCGTAGTATGATCAAAAAATAAAAATGAGCCCACCCTTGAATACTTTTGATGGCTGGGGTTACTATGTAGGAATGATTTTTCTTTCAAAATTCTTATTTTTCTTTACATCACTTTCAGGATACTTCTCAGAGATTTCTGGGAGGTTCTTTCTCAAAGTACAGATCCTTAAAATAAAGAGTAACTCCATCTCCAGCTACCAAACCTTAGCCAATCAAAATCCATTCCTGAACCCAACCCCACACTGTTTATTTCTACAGCAAGAAGTACAAAAAGCTCTTTCTTACCCCATCCTACAGCGCAGAACTTGAGGATGTAAGAGGGAATATAGGTGTTGAAGACCTTAACCAAAGCAATGTACATGTGCACAGCCTCTAGGCCCATCCATGTGAAGGAGGCCAGCACAAAATAGTGGAGCGTTGCAGCAGTGGCGATGCACAGACCATAGTTGGAGAAGGATGAGAGCCAACCATCAAGCAGGAAAAGCATGTTGAGGCCAAGCAGAGCAGCTGACAGGTTGATGAGTATCTTAGACGGGTAGTCTCGACGCAGCTTCCTACAGTGCACACAAGTGGCAGATGGCCATCAAGTTAAACTCTGGGACAGAAAGGCAAAGTCTAAGCTCTTAAAATGTGTCCTATGGGTTTATTAACAAATGCTTAAATGCAATTTAAACATTTATCACTGTGAAGAAAAGGCATTTTTCGCTCAAAGGCCACTTAGCTTATTTTAGAGCTTCGAATTACATCAATAAGATTTCAAGAATTCCGCTCTAGTTTAAAAGCTCTGGTTGGAACTGTTTGGTGAGACAACTATTTGTGATGGTCAGGAATGAGTTGCTTGACACTGAAGTTAGTTTTATAGTAAAGTATACATACAGTGCAAGCTTTCTGGTCATAACAGGCAATTAAAGATAGAAGTTATACTATTGCATAGACGAGTAGTTTTGACAAGCTGCTAAGAAGCCAATATCCAATGTCTCCAGCCTCTTCATGGTCATAGTTGGCTATTGCAGTAAGACGGTCATTCCAGTAAGAAAATATTACAGCGTGATACATCTTCATATTCTTAGTTTCAGCAGGAGTGACTTACTCAAAAACAAGGTAGGTGAGTAGAGTGATGCCTAGAAAGATGGAGGATATACCACAACCAAGATATGTGATCACTGTCAGAATGTGACTGTCAGCTTCATTTATTGGGGTTCTGGATACATCCTGAAACACAATATACAAACAGGACAAAAGTTAAATTTAAAGCAAGTGGAAACCAAATGATGAGCCAGAAGTGCTAAATATTGCAGTTCCTCAAATGGCCACTTGAGGCTGACTCCAAAAGCTAGTCCTTCCCCATAGACCCCTATGTTAAAATGTCCAATTTTATAGCAGAGATTAATATGTTTACAGCCTGGTACAGAGGGCAGTTTTGGTTTGTACATGTACTTTCTCTTCTATGACAACAGTGTGTGTGTGTGTGTGTGTGTGCTATATTAAGCCTTAAATGTATGCATAGTTAAGGGTGAGGCAGTTTTCAGTGATTCATATGAGTCATCCACACTTATACAGTTGAAACCAGAAGTTTACATACATTGTATAAAAAGACATAGAACCTATTTTTTTCTCACTATCTGACAGAGTTTTTTTAGAGAATTTTTTTTACTTTCTTCAACGTCAGAAGTTTACATACATTTGCTTAGTATTTGGTAGCATTGCCTTTAAACTGTATAAATTGGGTTAAACATTTTGGGTATCCCTCCACAAGCTTCCTACAACAGTTTGCTGGTATTATGGCCCATTCCTCCTGACATAACTGGTGTAACTGAGTCAGGTTTGTTGGTTGTCTTGCTCCACATGCCTTTCCAGCTCTGCCTACAAGTTTCCTACAGGATGGAGATCAGGGCTTTGTGATGACCACTCCAAAACATTGACTTTGTTGTCCTGAAGCCACTTTGTAACTAATTTGGTGGTATGTTTAGGGTCATTGTCCATTTGAAGACCCATTTGCGCCCAGGCTGTAACTTCCTGACTGATGTCTTGAGATGTTGCTTCAATATTTCCACATAATGTTCTTTCCTCATGATGCCATCTATTTTGTGAAGGGCACCAGTCCCTCCTGCAGCAAAACACCCCACAACATGATGCTGCCACCCCCGTACTTCACAGTCGGGATGGCGTTCTAAAGCTTGCAAGCTTCCCTCATTTTATTCCAAATGTAACGATGGTCATTATGGCCAAACAGTTCAGTTTTAGTTTCATCAGACCACAGGACATGTCTCCAAAAATTAAGGTTTTTGTTCTTGCGTGCATTTGTAAACTGCAATCTGCTTTTTTATGATGCTTTTGGAGTGATGTCTTCTTCCTCTATGAGTAGCCTTTCAGCCCATGTCGGTACAGGACTGGTTTCACTGTGGATAATGACACTCTCTTACCAGCTTCAGCAGCATCTTCACAAGGTCTTTTGCTTTTGTTCTGGGGTTGATACACACAGATGAACCAGACTTGTGGAGGTCCACAGTTCTCTTCCTGATATCTTGGCTGATTTCTTTAGATTGTCCCATGTTGTCATAAAAGGAAGCAGTGTGTTTGAGGTGTGCCTTAAATTACATCCACAGGTGTGCCTCCAATTAACTCAAATACTGTCAATTAACCTATTAAAAGGTTCCAAAGCCATGACATCACGATCTGGGCTTTCCCAAATAGTTGAAAGGCATAGTAATCTTAGTGTATGTAAACCTCTGCCTTTAAAGAAAGTTATAAACTGTCCTAACACTGGAAAAGTTTAATCTGATTTAAAGTCAGACAGTGAGAGAAAAAATGTTTGTATGTCTTTTTATACAGTATATGCAAACTTCTGGTTTCAGCCATTTATAGTTAATGATTTAACACCTTCATTTAAACAGTTCAGTATCAGAGTTGACACTATGACAAGCAGCAGCTCAAGATGTCTAAACTTGTCTTATTTCACGTATTCTAAAAAATACATTTAATGACATACAGTATTGACACATAGTAGCTTTAAAATCAGCCCTTTGCATCACTGGCAGAAAAAAAAAACAAATGTAAGTAGTCACTATCTGACCAGATTGCACACAATATGTTGGTGCTTGTGGGAGTTTGTTCCCCAGTTGGATTTATAAAAAGCAGACCAATGACTCACCAGGAGGACAGCGAAATGTGTGAGGTGATCACAGAGACAGCTGGTCTGATAAGAAGAAATACTCCGGGTTTCACAGCCGTTGTTGTTCCAACCACCCTGCCCGCCTGACGCACACACACAAAACGACACACAGTGTTTTATTAAACCCTCTTATCAACAGACACACAGCTTCCTGTGTTCAGGAGCCTTTATTGATCTCACTAGTTTCTAAAAAGTACAAAGAGGCTCTGGACAGTAAATCCCACTGCACACTCATAAAATAAAATAAAAAAGGATGAGCTCACCATGCTTCTGGAAATCCCAAAACATACATTGCTCCTTGTCTCCTGGCTAGAAATATAGGAAAGTGACGGTGGTGTTTGAGTCACATATAAATGCGTCCTTATAAGAGACAAAATGAAAAGCATTCAGTTCTCACCTCTTTGGGTTTGTGAAGAGTGAGCGTCACCACAACTGGATCGGTCAGGTTGAAGGCATGACTGTTATTGATGCTGGCAGATATTACACAGGTGTTTAATGTCCAGAGGCTTTCTGTTCCGTTGGTTGTACTCGGGTCCTGTAAAAAAATATAAAAAAATAAAGGTTGTCACATTAGCAAGCAGGATTACGAAAAATATTTGTAAAAAGCTGTGTTCGTAAAGTTTTATTAAGGCCACTGGGTATTGTAACACAGAGAATACAGACAAAATGACAGACTTACTCATGTATATATTCCATAAATGGTGTGAAAAAGATGTTAAGTTATATTAAAAGAAATACCATTTGTTTTGGGGTTGTTTTTGGACATGTGTTTATAACCCTTTATGCAGAGAGTTGCATTAAGCAACTCGTGCTCTTCTCATGTATGAAGATAAATGTGAAACTACAGCCAGATTTCAGTAAGCTTCCTGTAGCATCAAACTGCAAACAGAAAAACAATTTCGCTGACTCTGTGCAAAAGGAAACAGAATTCTCTTCTCTTGTTTGTTTAATCTGTAGAAACTGGTTGCGTTAAAATAGGTGCCTGGCAACCTTAGGAAGTCCCTTTACGTAACAGCCCTGTAAAACCACACTTTGTTCCTACACTCATTTTTTAAATATTTTTTTTCAATATAAACAGATATAATTATTAACTTTAGAGGTGGCAGTAGGTGGTTTTTCTCACCTTTGGACAGAGCCAGGCTAGTTGTTTGCACTTCTTTCTACTGTTTGTGCTATGCTAAGCTAACTGTCTCCTGGCTGTAGATTCATATTCGTCCTTCAGATATGAGAGTGGTATCATTTTTTTTTTCTTCATCTAACTCCCAGCAAGAATGCAAATATGCATATTTCCCAAAATGTTTAATTTTTCCTTCTGAAATATCACAAAAGTAAACACAGAGTGGCCTACATGAGGTATGTAAAATTGTAGTTTATTTCGAAACGAAGGGAAAAAAGAAAGAAAAATTAGAACTACAACGACAAAGAGACAAGATAATAAATAGCAACAGAAGAATATGTAAAAGAAAATACCTGGAAAAGTTCATGATTTCCGTAATACTGAAACTGAACACGAGTTGGGTTTCCTGCTCCAGGGTGGAAAAAGTCAATGAGTGCAGAGGGCAAAGAGATAGTTGCATTTGCCTCGGGGAGTGGTCCGCTCACAAAGCTCTGGTTGACAAAAGTCTGAGAGAGAACATTAACAGTGATTTGTGCTGCTACAGATTACTTACAGAGTTTTTTTCCCCTCATCATCAGCTGTCTTAAAATAGCTCCTCAGACTAACAGCTTTATTAAAGCTTCATTTGTCACAACTGCTTCAGGCCGTGATGTCTGTTTATGAGCAGTTTCCTGTATTTTCTAGTTGCTCAGAGGTGTTAATGCAACTGAAATTTATCGGAAGTAGTCAGGTGGAACCAGTATTGTTTTGTAGATAATATCTCACTTCAAAAACACCTCATAAGTAAACTTCACTGCTGCTTTGCATATAGTAGCATTTATAACATCTCACCTGTGGGCTTGTTGTGTCTGAAACAGAGGACACACCGAAGGTGAGGCCTCTGAATTTATCTGGTTGTACGTTGATCATTGAAAGAGCCAGCGACGGTGCTGTAAAACTTACAGATTCACCTTGGAAATCCATGATGTCACCTATCCTTTCTGTCAGATTAAGCACACTTTTGCGAAACACGAAGAGAAATACAAGGAAATAAAATTAGAAAAGGCAGGATTTAGGAGGAATGTACATTTCTGTGCAAAAGTTGTTTTCATTTTCTCCTTACATGGTTGCCACTGTGGCAACGTCAGTTTTGGAAAGCAGGATATGGGCAACAGTATCGACAATGCTGGCTCCAACAGCAGCCTCGATGGTGCTGATA